AGCATTGTATCCTTTCAGAGGAGGCAGGGGGCAGTAGCCAGGGAGGAAGATGGGGTCCACAGGGCCAGTTTCAGAGGAAAAGGACCATGGGCCAGCAGACTATCTGTCCTTGACTGTCTGCCCTATTCGTCCATCCACCCATCCATCAACCCATCCACCCACCCATCCACCCATCCATCCACCCATCCACCCATCCACCCATCCATCCACCCACCCACCCATCCACCCATCCATCCACCCATCCATCCATCCATCCATCCATCCATCCATCCATCCATCCCTAATCCTTTTATGTTTTCTTAGGCCCAGGCCAGTGCCTGGCACTGGGGATAGTGGTGAGACCAAATGTCCTTGCTTATAGAATTTTACATTTTTGCCTGGAGACAAATAGGCATTGATAATACAGAGTGATACTGAACAGTGATTACTGGGAAACAGGGGAGGTGGAGGATGCTTCCTTTTTTGTTTCATATTCCATTATATTTTGAGGTTCCAAATATATCGAATGTTTCGTAAAGCTAATTTTCAAAATAGTACATGTTGAGTGCACCAGTACACAAAGTAGGGAATTCTCTGGAAGCTTCTAGCTGGAACCTCTATAAACGCAGACTTGGAGGTCAGGGAATGCTTCCCAGATATCTTGTTATCTCGGGCAAGTTATTCAACCTCTCTGTATCATTTTTCTCATCTGTAAAATGGAAATCCTACCTCATAGGATTGTGAAAATTAAATAGACGTATGTAAAGCACTTTAGATCAGCATCTGGTATGTAGCAATTAAGTGTTAGTAATTACCTAAATGTTAGCTGTTATCAGTAAGCTGAAAACTAAGGGTGAGATGTTAGTCAGAGACAGAAGGACTCAGGCAGAGAAGCAGCATGAGGCTCCAAATGGCCCATTGCTTGTCGTCCTAAGCATCTCCCCGCAGCGGGGAAACCTCAACACACGGCTTCAGAAGCTGGATGAACTTCAGGAGTTCAGTGCCATCATCCTGGCCGCAGCTGGCCTGCAGCGCATGGGCTGGCAGCACCGGGTGGGGCAGGTAAGGGGCTGTCCCTGTTCTGTCCCCAGTGAATCTTCCCTCCTGTTCCTGCCTGTATGCTTTCTCAACACCCTGCCTCTAAGGCTCGAGCTGGAAGTGAGTCCAGAAGATTGGGGATCAGAGGCCAGACCCCCACTTTTGCCTACCTAGGCTTTCTATGTGGTAGGGAAGCCCCTCTCACTACTGTCTGGTTTTAGCACCCCCCAGTACCACCCTCTTGAGTGCCTTTTCCGCCCTTGCAGATACTACACCCGGAGGAGTGCATGTATGCTGTGGGTCAGGTATGTCAGCGCCCGGAAGCCATGCGTTGATGTGCACTTTTGTTCTCAATCAAAAAGCTCACAACCTTCTGCATAAACATTTCTAGGGAGGGGGAGGCCTCGGGAGGCTTCTGGGCTAAAAGAGACCCCGGGGAGCAGGTGGAGGTGAGCTGGTTCCCATCCTCAGCTCCACTGGTGGGGGAGAGATTTAGGCCTGACGTCTTAGGCTGTCTTTCCATCAGGGTGCCCTGGGCGTGGAAGTCCGAGCCAAGGACCAGGACATCCTGGATCTGGTGGGTGTGTTGCATGATCCTGAGACCCTGCTTCGCTGCATTGCCGAGCGAGCCTTCCTGAGGCACCTGGTAGGACCTGTGTTCCACCGACGGAGGGGTGGGGACTTGGGGGGTTGGGCATAGCCATGGGGGAGAATTCTCAAATGAATGCTCTTTATTTAATGTTAACTTCATTCTTGAATGTATGGGCGGGACTGGGCCCCTGCCTGTTTCAGGTATGTCTTCAGAGGTCTCTCTGTCTCTGAGGGTTCTGGTGACGACAGAGTGCTATCAAGAGTCCTTGGGGTTCACAGGGCAACTTCTCATTGCAGGAAGGAGGCTGCAGCGTGCCAGTGGCAGTGCACACCGCTATGAAGGACGGGCAAGTAAGCACTGTGACATTTGTCCCTGGGCATCTCGAATTGTCCAAGAGAGCATAGGTTTCTAACCAGTTCTCTCAGAATATGCTGAGATAACCGTTTCCTTTCCCAGCTGTACCTGACTGGAGGAGTCTGGAGTCTAGACGGCTCAGATAGCATGCAAGAGACCATGCAGGCCACCATTTGTGTCACCGCCCAGGTGCCAAAGCTGGAGGGTGAGGGAGGGGGTGAGAGACAAACCTGCCTGTTTCCTCCTTTTTCGTGCTCACCAAATCCCCCTTCCCTTCCCTCACCTAGCATGAAGATGGCCCAGAGGACGATCCACAGCTGGTGGGGATCACTGCCCGGAACATTCCACGACAAGCACAGCTGGCTGCTGAGAACCTGGGCATCAGCCTGGCCAGTTTGTTGCTGAACAAAGGAGCCAAGAACATTCTGGATGTTGCGCGACAGCTTAACGATGCCCACTAACTGGTCTGCGGGGCACAGGTGTCTGGGCTGCTATAATTCAGTGCCTGCATCCCAGCCCACAGTTCCCCGTTCTCACTGCTAACTGGGGAGTGATTACCCCAGGGGACTGAACTGCAAGGTCAGAGACCTCCAGGGACTTGTCTCACCTTGGGGCTGTGGTGAGTGCCTTGCCTCCTCAGTAGGTGGGGGTTTCATCTCTTTAGAGAAAAAGTTCAAGCCACAGCCTTTGAATGTAACCAAGTCAACTAATAAACCGGCTCTGACTTTGTTTTTGTTGAGGTTGCAGTAAAGGACGAACGCAAAACCTTTTACTCTAGGGGACCTATGTCCAACGTTCTTCCGGGACATTTTTGGTGTCTGCCAGTTATTTCAAATGGTCTCCCAGGAAACACCAAGAGCCGTGATGGACAAACCTAGGACCTGCCCCTCTCCGGCTAACCCGTGTGTCTTATCAGATGAGCCACGTGTCACATAGTCCCCCAACCTCAGGAAGAAAGTCAACCCCACAACTCTTTACATAAACGACCACACACGTTGCGTTTTTGTTTTTTTATAAAAGTCCTTTAATAAATAAAATTAGTCTATCTGAAACTCCCCAATACGTAAGGTACTCGTCTTGGATAGGTTTTAGCTGCAAAATCCCAGTTCCGAAGCTATCGGAGGCTCAGTGCAGACGGGGACGCACGGGTGGTGCTGGTACGAGGCGCGTGGCCCCGCAGAGTAGTCGCCGGAAGCAAAGTGGGGCGAGCGGCGGGGCCCAAGGGCCCGGCTGCGGGTCACCGCGGGCGCGCGCGCACCTCCTGCGGGCCCCACGGCCCGCAAGCCCGGGCCCCCCCCGCCGAGGCCCGGCCCACCCCCGAGCGAAGGCGGCGGGAGCCCGGGGGCCGCCAGGGGGGACGGCGATCGGTCCTTTCCGCACCGCGTCCGAAGAGTCCCGGCCCCGGCGCGCGCCTCAGCCCTGCGTCAGAACGGCGAGCGCCTCTTCCAGAAGGCACCGCGGCCTCACCGCAGCCCACCGGCGGTTCCGGGGCCGGCGCGGCTGAGTCACGGGCGCCGCGGAGGGCAGGTGCGCGCCCCTAGCCCCCTCCCGGCCGCGGCCCTCTGGTCTCTGGCCTGGCGAGCGGGGCCGCCCCTCGGCCCGGAGGCATCGAGAGCGAGGACCCGCGAGCCCGCGCGGGGGAGGGGCGGGCCGGGCGGCGGCGACTACGCGGGAGGGGGAGCCGAGAGCTGCGGCCGCCCGCCCCGAGTCCGACGTGGCTCAGCTCTTTCTGTGAGGGCTGTGGTGGCCCTTAAAAGGGCCTTTGTGGTGGCATGGGGGGCCGGCTGCGGCGCGGGCGCCCCTCAGTACTCCTGGGAGGCCTGGGTGGCCTTCTTGCCGCCCGCGGGCGCCTTCGGCCCCACGGTGGCGCTGGTCTTCTTGGGTAGCAGCACGGCCTGGATGTTGGGCAGGACGCCTCCCTGGGCGATCGTCACGCCGCCCAGCAGCTTGTTGAGCTCCTCGTCGTTGCGGATGGCCAGCTGCAGGTGGCGGGGGATGATCCGCGTCTTCTTGTTGTCGCGGGCCGCGTTGCCCGCCAGCTCCAGGATCTCGGCGGTGAGGTACTCGAGCACGGCCGCCAGGTACACCGGCGCGCCGGCGCCGACCCGCTCGGCGTAGTGGCCCTTCCGCAGCAGCCGGTGCACGCGGCCCACTGGAAACTGGAGGCCGGCGCGCGACGAGCGCGACTTGGCCTTGGCTCGGGCCTTGCCGCCCGTCTTGCCGCGGCCCGACATGCTGCGCGAGGTAGAGGAGCGGTGAAGAGGGACGCGTACCAAGGGGCCGAGGAACCACCGCCCGCCGCAGTCCAACTGCTGCCGCGCGCGCCCAGAGGCCGCCCTTATAAGCCCCCAGGGCACACCTCCGCGCCCTCCTGATTGGCCCTTTTCTCTAATACCCGCCTCCAGTTGGTTGCAGTTAACCCTTCAGTGACGTGCCACGGCTCAGGGAGCGCGCCCGCCGATTGGTCCAATTTGAAAACCTTTTGCCCGGGGAAAAAGGCGAGGAGGAGTGGTAGCACGCAGCCGGCCACGCACTCCCTGATGTAGCCAATCCGGGCGGAGGGCGCCAGATTTAAATGCTCCAGCTGGAGCCCAGAACCGGAAGACAAAGAGGGTGGAGTCTGAGCCATCTCAAGAGCCTCTGGGAAATCTGTGTGGGCCTAGGGTTTTTTAAAGGAAAGGGATCATCAACACCACTGCCTCCCCTTCCAGGTCTGGTCACCCTCTTCTCTTTTCTCCCTCCTCCCATCCTGCAAAGGGAAAGCAGAAGAGGGAATAAATAGGACGGCCCCCCGTTCTATCCCACGCCAGAGAACAAGTAAATCCAATCTTATGGCCCTCCCTGCCACCTGAAGTAGCAGGATTTCAGTATTTATTCAACATAGGCGCTCCAGGTCTCTGTTTTTTGTTCACTTCCTGCTACACTCAAAAGAAAAAGGGTGGGACGGAGACAGAGGCATCCTCTTGAGGGAGGTGCCTCCACCCACCCTCCCAATCTACCCTAAAACGCCCATATAGGAAATAACACCTACAGGAACAACAAGAAAAAGACAACACTTTATTGTCACCCCTGCGAGCACCTGGCCTCACCAGTCTGCTCTTCCCAATCAGAATACTTAATTTATAGTCAAATATCAAGTGATCTTCAAGCTCGTGTCCCTCTCCCCAGCCGGGGTTCTCTTCCCAGGCCCAACGTATTCCTTCAGAGTCAGAGTTGTGGATAACTGCATGGAAGCTGCAGTATCCCACCTTAGGAGGCTGCAAGGATGGGATGGAGAGGGAGCGTGGCAAGTTGAAGGAAGCCGTAGCCAAGACCCAATCAACAGTCATTACATGGCAATCATCACAGCAGAAAGAAAATGCTAAGTACAAAATCTGGAGAAGAAAGAAAGGTGGGAGAGGCCTGGCCAGGAGGCATTACTGGTCCAGAAAGAGGTCGGCCTGAGTCAGGAAGCCTGCAGACTGTGCAGTCGGGGGACTCAGACGTCGTAGAAGAGCCGGACAAGCTGGTACCGGATGGAGAAGGTGACAGCGCTGCCAAGGATCTGGGAAGCGAAACACACTAGAGTCAGAACCATGGAGAAAGGGAGACGAGGTAGTGGAGAGCCCTTCCCCACTCACACCTGGAGCAGCAGCAGCAGCAGGGTCAAGTTCCTCTCGTGCATGGGCCCAAAGACCTTAAGCACCAAGTTGATGAGGGTCATGTTGTTACACTCTGTGAAGGCACCGTCCTCATTCTCATTCTGGTGCACTGTCACTAGCTGGAGGCTCTCTGCTGCCTGGAGGGGTCAGAGGTGGAGAGAAGAGCAAGCGCGCTTCAGCAATGGAGACCTGCCTCATGCTTCTGAACTCCCCTCGGATCTGCCGTAGGCCTAGGTTCCCCAGTCCCTGAATTCCAGATGGCGGCCTAGAGCCTTACCTCCTTGTTACCCTGTTACCTTTAGAATAAAGGTGCCCAAGAAAGAGAGGCTCTTGGTCTTGAACTTGGAATAGCTCATCTCCAGTTTGCCTGTTTTGGTATTGAGTCTGCAGGGGGAAGAGAATTTTATGTGACGGGGCCACTACAAGAACTCTCCTCACTGTGGCCGGTTAATAGGAAGAGCGCCGGATGAGGAAATCAAACAACCTAAGCTCCACTTCTGGCTCTGCTTACTGATACGTGATCAGAGCTGATCAGATTACGTAGGTAAACGTGCTCTGTCCTATAAGAGCTAACCACATGGCAAGAGTTAGCCCTTCTTTGGGCCCACTCCCCTTGCACAGCCAATGTGCAAGGCTGGCTTTCTGCATCCCGAGTGAAAAAGCCAGGATGTCCCTTTCAAGCCCCAAAGTGGCTACCTGGGCACACGGTGGCGAGGGCAGGGTATGATATGCAGGAGCTGAGGCAGTGAGTAGAGGAAGTTGAACACCTGGGGCATGAAGAAGAGTAGCATGGTCTTGCTGAAGTGTCCCAGGATGCCCACCACGGCAAAGGTCATGCCAGCAAAGTAACAGAAGGTATCTCCCACAAACACCCGTGATGGGTACCTGTGTGGGGGAGAGGATCTGAGCCAGGGGCAGGAGGCACTACCAATCTTTTCTCTCACATCAGGTACCCTGGGCCCTGGGCTAGCCCTAACTCTAGTTCTGGCCCAGCCGAGGGGACTCCAGCTCTCCCAGCAACTGTCCAGGACCCAAAGCCCTGAATTCGTCTCTTCCTGGGGGCTCCACAGCACTTGTCCCTGACTACGATTGGGTAGAGAGTCACTGAGGAATATTTCCGACTAAAGACCCAGAAAGGGGCGCCTGGGTGGCTTAGTCGGTTAAGCGTCCGACTTTCGCTTAGGTCGTGATCTCGCGGTTCGTGAGTTCAAGCCCCGCGACCGGCTCTGTGCTGACTGCCAGCTCAGAGCCTGGAGCCTGTTTCAGTCTGTGACTCCCTCTCTCTCTGACCCTCCCCTGCTCACGCTGTCTCTCTCTCTCTCTCCTAGAAATAAATAAAACATTAAAAAAAAAAAAAAAAAAGACCCAGAAAACACTCAGTACGGGTGTGCGCAGGTGTAGCCTCTCTGGCCGGAGCTGGGTCATGATCTGGACCATACTTGCTACATATTCAAATAGCCATCCCCCTAGCCACAGGCCTACTTACCAGTTATAGTAGAGCAATCCCAAGGTGGTGAAAAAAAAGGGTATCATGAAGTAGAGGGAAAAGACATGATCATCCCGATAATCACCTTTGGAAGCAGGGGAAGAAGAAAGGACAAGTTGATTGGAACTTCCCCTGCATTATCTTGGTCCTATTTTTGTCTGTCTCTAAGTTCTGTTCCAAGCTGTCTTCTCCACCTCTTCCAAGTCATAGTCAAAAACTCACTACCCCTTTTATGTTACCCAGGCAACTCCTAATATTCCACCTTGTTCATGAACCCCTCCTAAACTGAGTTACTGTCTTCAATTTGGTTTAGATCATTCAGACCTAGGTTTGGTTGATCAGCTTTACTTCCTAACTGGGTGACTTTGATCAGGACACATTTAAATTCTCTAACCCTCAGTTTCCTCAAATGTAAAATATGGTTGATGAGAACACCCACCACATGTTACAAAGCTTAAATGAGATACTGTTTGAAAAGTGGTTAGTTTTGGGGCACCTGGGTGGCTCAGTCAGTTGAGCATCAACTTTGGCCCAGTTTATGATCTTGTGGTTCACAAGTTCGAGTCCTGCATTGGGGTCTGGGCTGACTGCTCAGAGCCTGGAGCCTGCTTCAGATTCTGTGTCTCCCTCTCCCTCTGCCTCTCCCCAGCTCGCACACTCTCTCTCTCTCAAAAATAAATAAAAACATTAAAAAAATTTTTTGTAAGTGGTTAGTTGTTTGTGTTTTTTTTTGAAGTTTATTTATCCTAAGAGAGAGAACGAAAGGGAAGCAGCAGAGAGAAAGGGAGAGAGAGAATCCCAAGTAGGCTCTGCACTGTCGGCACAGAGCCTGATGCGACGCTCGATCCCAAGAACTGTGAGATCATGACCTGAGCCAAAATTGAGTCGGACGCTTAACCTACTGAGCTACCCAGACACTCCTACAAGTCGTTAGTTTTAAAAAGCACTTACTGATATCCATCAGCCAAAGACAACCAGAAACACCTACAGTCAAAGCCGGATTTACTGACTCGTGATAAGGGAGACATAGGAGACCACACATCATAGGCAACCAGGGCATGCCTTGGTAAGCGGCGCATACTCTAGGATTTAAGTAATTCTGGGGTGAAGCAAGGAGGCAGAGTTTTGCCCTAGACTGGGTGCTGTCAGTAGAAGTGAATCTAGGATTGGGTATCTTAATTTTATCTAAGAATTAGCTGGAACGGAGTTATCAGAAAGAAGCAGCAATTGCTCATGTTGGCCAGAAGAGGGAGCTCTTATCCGTTTTTGTTAATGCACTGTTCTTGCAGTTTCTCTATACTCAGACATGGTTAGTGGGGAATCTGGTTTTTGTTTTACTCTGTCATGGTCACAGAGTGACCTTGATTCTGAGGTTCTGTGAAATTATTTATGTTCAGTAGGAGATGACCATAGCCTACCTATTAGTGCCAATGCAGTTATAAATGACAGGGCGGCTATTTTTTTTCTCACATTTACTAAATCAGAATATGTTGCTTTTCCCCCTAAACTCTCCAAAGCTAGGTATCAAGCAAGTTCCTCAACACTCAGACTTCTCTCCCTATCCCCAATCCCACCTACCTTCCAGCTCCACCAGATTGAAGACGATGATGGAGGCAGAAATGACTAGCGACTGGCCAGCCTCTAGGCCATTAATTCCTGCTAGGATATTGATGGCGTTGGTACAGAACACGGCCAGCAGCCCCATGTAGACGTAGTACAGGATCCCTGGGGGAAGCAGACAGGAGTGTGCCACTCAGAAAGGAGGATTTAAGGATGTTCTGCGGAGGCGAGTGGTGAGGAAAAAGTACAGGACCAACAGAAAGGATCTGAGACGACACAGCGCCAAGACAGGGCCGCTTGCGGAGAAGGTGGAGCACCAGGAAGATGCGCTGCTGGAGATCTCCCAGCATAAGGTGCCCTAAAGTAGAGGCCGCAGGGGCAGCAGCGGCAGGGTTACTCACCCAAGTCCAGATGCAGGCCAAGAATCGGACGGAAGGGCTTGGGTACCACAATGGTCGTGTTGCCAAAGTTGGTGAAATAGACCATGAGAAGAGGTAGTGAGGCAGCTGTAGGGAGCAGCAGCTTGTGGCGCCAGCGCAGGTTAAGGACATCGTCCGCGAAGCCCAGGAAGATCATGCAGCAGATGGCAAGGAGCGCACCTATCAGGGCCACAAACTGGGGGAGGCTCGGGCAGGTCACAGCTCAAGCCTACTCCCCCCTCACCTTGCAAAAATCCCTGTCTTTGCGCTCGTTCCACGGCTCCTCAACCCGAACCCAAATAACCGCGACTCCCCCGGCCGCAAGCAACCGCCCCCACTCACCCACTTACTTCATGGTGCGGGAAGGCTTTACACTGCTCCTCCACAAAGCAGTTCAGGAACGGGAAAGGGATGAAGCAGAAGAGGATGATGAGGAAAACAGCGCCGCTGATCACGCCCTGGGACTCTGGGCTGTGGCCCAGCAGCAAAAGGGGTGGGGGGGGGGGGAGGAAAGGGGGCGTGGTCACTCACTAGTGCAGGTATCACAGCCATCTAATGGGGAAGGGGGTAAGGGCGCCAGTGCTGGAGTGCCCGATACACACGAGGGTCCCCCAAACCGCTACGTCCCTTCCCGATGTTAACCAGCTCTGCCCTTGACCTCCCTGAGCTCGGAGCTCTCTGCGGAGTTAGCGTTGCGTCTCAGCGCTCGGTCAGGCACCCCAGTTCCCGCCGTTGCCCTGCCCACCCTTTTTCCTCTGCCCCCGCCCCTCCCCGCCCCACCCGGGGCCAGGGTGCCCGCCGCTCACATTTGCTGCTGGCCGATTTTGTTGAGGTCCTGGCCACAGAGGCGCGCGGCCATGAAGTGGCCACGGAAGGCGGGGATTAGGGTGACTGTGGCCACAAATCCCAGCAGCGAGCCGATCAGGTTCACCACCAGCGGCAGCGGCAGCTCCGGGAAGGCCCACATGACGACCGGCCAGGGGGCCCGCTCCGCCGCCGCCTCAGCTAAAGGGCAAGCCGGGCGGGAGCCCCGAGCCCTCCGCAGGGAGGAGTGGCCGCGTCTTCCCACAGCCGCCTGAGCGAAACCCGGCCACTCTGACTCGAGCCGCCCTCAAGACTCCCGCGAGCCTCTAGAGAGCAACCTCGCCTCTGCCCCCGCTGCATTTGCCTTCCCAGGGTTTCCTCCCGGATCTTGCTCGCGGAGCAACCTGCCTTGTGGAAGGCGGCGGCGGCCATTTTTAATGCGGGCAGGAGAGCGGGGACGGGGGAGTCACTTTAAACTCCATCCTTTTACTCGAGAGTTGAGTCGCTACGACGGCGTTGGGAAAGTAATCAGAGAGACACAAACAAAGGCGGATACTTTCCTAAAGTCATATTAAAGGGGTACAGCCCAAAGCGGAGAAATTCCTTGCCCGCTTCCAAAATGAACACCTTTTCCCACGTGTCGGACGCCGCCTTCTCTGGGTTCCACGTCAGTCTTCGGTCGGCCGGCCGCCGCAGGTCACATTTAAAGGGCCAGTACCCCGCCTTTCCTCTGGGGTGCCGCTGGAGCCGGGAAGATGGCTTCTGGAGGCAAGGGGAAGGGCGGGAGGGACGAGGATGGGGAGCACCCCTGCTCCTGGTAGAAAACTTGTTGCCAGCGTAGTCGGAAGCCAAGGTGAACGCAGCTTGGTTCCTGGAAACGCAGCCACAGTTTGGAAGATGATGTGAATTCTAAAACCTAGACACTTGAAAACTCCCTCCAACTCCATGTTTTTCTTGTCCTTGATTCAGGAACTTTCTTTTCATTGTCCTGCCCGCCGTGTGCCCCCGCCGCAGCTGTTAGTTGCTGGGCAACCCAGCGGGACACTTAACCACCGCAGGGGCCGAGAGTGCCCTCAGGTCTTGGATTCAACCCGATTGACTTTCCTCGGTCCTGGATGCTCCCAAGCCTAGGGGGCGAGGCTGGAGGAAGGTGGCGTTGGAAAGAGCTAAGGAAACAGGAGACTCAGCCCACACGTGGCTTCCTGTGGGCCCAAGGAACTCCCAGTCAGGTTTCTTCCTCTAGGTTAAGGTGCCTTTTGCTTGGCACCTGTTTCCTTGCAGATAACAGTTCAGCGGTTTCTTCCCTTTCATTCACTAGCAGGCTCTCCGTGGAAAATGATTTACATCCCGCGGAGAGGAAACCACCGCCAGGGAGTACAGACACAACCCAAGCACCCCCTCACTTTGTCCACCCTCCAAAATGCTGTGCTCTGGGAGTCAGGGGCAGCTTGACTCGTGTTGGGCCAGAGATGGGCTTTCTGGTGTCTCAAAACCAGGTGTGAAATGTCCCTTCGACTCGAAGGCGGCTGTAATTAGCAACAAAACAACCATATATGTATAAAATACACTTTATATATACATAAGGTAATCCCAGTAATGTACTTGATAGTATTCCACCAGATTGTCAGTACTTGTCAGACCACTTTGTCTTTCTGTGTGTGTGTGTCTGTGTGCGTGTGTGCGCGGACGAGTACTTGTGCATCTGTGCCGCTTAGACTGGAAACTCCCTAGAGGTGAGTGTTTTCTGTTTCACAGGGTATCCCCATGGGACTAAGGACACACAGATATCTGTATATGAGGCATCATCACACACAGTGAGTCTGGGTCTTAAAGAGGGTCAAATGGTAATAGCACACGGAGAGAGCAATTAGGGGGAGGTGAAAGGGTGTTGAAGAGTAGAATCTCCAAAGATTTCCGTAGGTGGCAAGAGTGGAAGGGCCTCCCAGATGGGGAAACGGAGAGAGACTCCAGGAGCAGGTGGGAAGGAGGAGCTTGTGGGAGCCTCAGAGGAGGCAGTGCTCAGTTATCTTGTTGATCAGGAGCAGGTTGAGACTCCCTGGAGGTTTGAGGGACAGTGTATCTATTTCCTTTTTTATTAGGAGCTGAGTCCTAATAAATCTTCCTTCCCAACCTGGCATTGGGAACATTTGCCTCTTTCTTCTCCAGAGATCATCTCACATCCCCCATCCCCTGCGACCCCTTGTTCAAAATCAAGACACTAGGGATTCTTCATCCAATATACATGCTTACCATCAGAAAATGGTTACTTGGGCACTTACATTATAGTCTCAATATTTTTGTTCCCATGATGCTCAGTTGACTATCAGACTGGTTAGGAGAACAAACACAGGACTTGGCCACACTTGAAATTTTGTGCCTTTCCTGGTTAAAGTTCAAAGCATTTGCCTGAACGCTGAAGTTGGTCCTAGAACTCACAGATGAAGTCTTACAGTTTCTGAGTCTGAGTCCCACTTTGGGCTCTGCAATGGTGGTGCGGAGCCTGCTTGGGATTCTCTATCTCCCACTACCCCACCTCTTCTGCAGATGTGCTCTCTCTCACTCTTTCTCTCTCTCTCTCTCTTAAAAATAATACACTTTAAAAATTGTTAATTAAAAATAATTTACTAATTCCTACTAAGTTCATGGGAAAATCAAGTACGGTGAGGACACAAGGTGATATAAATGCGCTCCCCCTCCCACACACACAAAGTGTCTAGCTCAGCATATCCAAGCACCTTGGTTGAGTATGAAGGAAAACAGATGAGTATGACAGGGTCCCTACTCTTTTTTATTTTATTTTTCAGAGAAAGAAAACAGGAGAGAGAAGCAGGGGGAAAGAAAAAGAGAGGGAGTGAGGGAGAATCTCAAGCAGACTCCATGCTCGGTGCAGAGCCCAGCACTGGGCTCAGTCCCACGACCCTGGGATCATGATCTGAGCCAAAATCAAGAGTCAGATGGTCAACTGATGCCCCTGGGTCCCCACTCTTTAGTAGTTTCTTGGTGAGTCAGAAAAGCAAACATAGAAACAACCAGCTAAACTATAAGGCAGAATTGTAAGACTGACTTGTGACGCTATGTCTGACAGCAGAGGACCGAGTCATCAGTGGAGGAGCTGAGGGAGTAAATCCAAGAACTCAGAGAACTCCGATTCCTGGGAGATCGGCGGGTTCCTAAAGAAGAGTTTTCAGGGGGAAAAGGGTCTTCATAGTGGAACTTTGTGCCTAGGCAACTTCCCACATAACTTGCTTCCCTAGCCCTAAATGCTTTGCCCTGTGACAGCTCCTGCTGGGGTCTGGCCTTGAGTGCTTTCCTCCCTTCGTTTCATGTCTTTGCCTCACCTAATGATTAGAAACCCACATTCTAAGGGCACCTGGCTGGCTTGGCAGAAGAGCATGCGACTCTTATCTTCAGGACGTGAGTTTGAGCCCCATGTTGAGTGATTACTAAAAAAAAAATTTTTTTAAACCCACATTCTAGGAATCTTTCATTATTTTTGGTGTCCAGTGATGATGCATGCATGGGCAGGGTGACAGCAAGGTTTGTCCATTACCGACCATGCCCCCCCCCCCCCCCCCCCCCCCCCCCCGTCATCTCTTACAGTGAATTCCCAGCATCCCAGGCTACCCCACCACCTCCTCTGGCTCAGGATCCCTGTTGCTGACCTGCCAGATTCTGCCTGACTCTGCAGCCCCGCACTTTACGAGGCATTGCTTCTTCCCGGATACCCCTCCTTTGGACTACTGACTGCATTTGGGAGGGAGATTAATACCTTCCCTGCTACCCTATCTGTGTGCGGAATACTTTGCTGTATGTACGTGGAGAAGGGCCTCTTAGGGAATGGGGGTTCCTTTTCATTCTGTTGCAAGAGTTTCCTTTCTCTCCCTCCAGAAGGAAATGTCAAGTTCCTGTCTCATAGGGATGGAATCTACTCCCTTAAATCCAGGAAAAGGGATGGATCCTGAGGCCAGAGTGTACCTATAGCATCATTGTGTGTGTGTGTGTGTGTGTGTGTGTGCACTTGTTGAGGTATCACATACTTGGATGGCATCACATATTTTGGCTGAATCTATTGATAGTCCAGAGCTACGCTGCCAGCTCCCTTCTCATTACCACCTCTTCTACACGTGCTCCATGGGCAGGAGCTGTTACTATGGAAATATATTATTTTTAAAAACAGAAGCAGCCCCAGGCTTGGGAAATATCTCCAGAACAAACCCACGCGAGCAAGGAGGTTAAGAGGGTGTTCCTGGGTCCTAGCTCCTAGGGGAAGGGAGGTGGTGGTGGAGGTGGGAGTTTAATATTCCATGTTCTGTTCTCAGATTCGACTAGGTTCAAGTTCTTTCTGGTCGGTATCTCCTGGACCTCCGCCAGGCACTTCTATGTTGGAGGGATGCTCGGCACCTACTTACACATCCAGGGCCTAGCTTAGGCCAAGAAATGGGAACCAAAGAATCTGCTGCGCCTAGGGGTGTTGGGAGAAGGGGGCGACGCCATCCACGAGGGTCATGTCCATCTTAACCCCACATGCATCCAAACTATAGAAATCTAAGCTGCGTAAGGAAAATCTGAGGAGACATCTCAAATGAGTGAAGTTACTCTTGCTGTGAGCTCAGGGGAAGGGGAGTGCCCCTTTTTCAGTATGGGGCGGGGTGGCCAAAGATCCCGCCTATTTTCAACCCCGGAACCTCCTCCCCTCGGTGTAATCCTCCCGCCCTCCTCTAAGCGCTCGGGCGCCGGACTCGCCAAGCCCCGCCCAGCGCGGGTGCGGCTCCTTTAAGGGCGGGTGGGGGCGGGGCGCCGGCCGTGTTGTCAGTGTCAGCTTTGCGCACGCAGCCCTTCCGGAGCCGGTGCCGGTCCCGGAGCCCCCACGTCTCTGCAGACGAGTCCCCGCCCGGGTCCAGTAGGGCCCACGCCGTGGGAGGAGTCGGGCGCTGGCAGGCGACTAGCCCAGGTCGAATTGCCGAACCAACCGAGGAAGGACCCGGACCACGCAGAGAGGGACCCCGGCGCCGCCACCCACCCCCAGGACTCCTCTCATCGATCCGTGGCATCCACTAGTTCCGGACACCCATCCCCGCAGAGCCCCCAAGCGCGCGCGCTCAGCCCCGGGGGAGCCCGCCCCCGCCCCGCGGCCCGCCCGGGCCATGCTCCCCCGGGGCAGCGGCTGAGCCCGAGCCGGGGCCCGGACCGGAGCCCGCGGGGAGCATGGATCCGGGCTGGGGGCAGCAGGACGTGGGCTGGGCGGCCCTGCTGATCCTCTTCGCCGCCTCGCTGCTCACGGTGTTTGGCTGGCTGCTACAGTATGCCCGGGGCTTGTGGCTGGCGCGGGCCCGTGGGGGCCGGGGGCCGGGACCCGCCTTAGCAGCCGAACCCGCGGGCTCCCTTCGGGAGCTGGGCGTGTGGCGCTCGCTGCTGCGGCTGCGGCCGACTCGGGCTGGTGCCCCCGAGGAGCCAGGCGTCCGGGGCCTCCTGGCGTCGCTCTTCGCCTTCAAGTCTTTCCGAGAGAACTGGCAACGGGCTTGGGTGCGAGCGCTGAACGAGCAGGCCTGCAGGGACGGGGTGAGTTGGACAGGAGCACCTAGGCGGTCCCCTCGCTCAGCCTTTCCTTCCAGGGGAGGGAGGGAGGGACTGCTCTTGCCTAGGGGACCAGATGGGGGTAGGGATCAACTGGAGATCCCTGTGGCTTCTCTTCCCCTCTGGGATCAGAGAAAAGGGTGCAGGTGAGGCTGGACGTTGTAGAAATCTAGCTATGTCCCAGATCTCTATTCTGTGGTCAAGGTACTCTCTGGCTGCAAACCCAAGCACAAGTTGCTGTTTTCATAGCAACGCTAATCCCTGGGCCCGAGGGCACTTCCGTGTAGCCTGGGTGCTGGTTGCGTTGGGGCAGCGGGGATAGAA